CTTTGCCATATTTAGGAAGGATATTAGAATAATCCAGAACAAATACTGGTACCAAACCATCTGCCTACAGATAGAAAAGGCATTCAGTAAATATATATATGTTTTTAAAATAATTCAACTTTGTTCATCTCTTGCTATCAATCTCACGCTGTTCCTCTCTATCTATCAATCTCACGCTGTGTCTCTCTATCTATCAATCTCACTCTGTTTCTATTCCTCTATCAATCTCACTCTGTTTCTATCTATCTATCTATCTATCTATCCTCATACTGTTCCTATTTATCTATCTCACCCAACCTTTTCATATCTATCATTTTGTTCATCCCTCTCTGATTCACATTTCTTTATTTAACCGATCGATTCACTGGAGAGAATTTGATAGAAATAGATTTTCTTTAATGTCTGCATGTTCATTGGATGCAATATTTTTTTTCTTTTTTGTAATTATGAGGAAATCATTTTTTTGTGGTGTTTTTTGTTTCTATAAATTAATTTATTTTTCATTCATTTTTCACTCGTTTTGCCTCACTTTCATTTTTTTTGGTTTGTTTTTTTGAACAATTTTTTTTTTTGTCGTTGCTTTATTCTGATATCCAATTTCTGTTTTTGCTTCTTTTGAAAAAGAAATTTTTCCATCTCATCATTTATTTTATTTTTAGTCTCATCCTTTAATCCTAATCCTTGCCCACAAATCCACAAAATGATTTATAGAAATGAAGATATGAACATACATAGATAATTATCTTAAATTTCTCTTATCTTTTCCTGCAATTGGGTTGGGGGTGGTGAAAAAGCCGCCCCCCTCCCTGCTCCTTCGCAAAAAAAAAAAAAACGAAAAGAAAAATGAAAAACAAAAAACAAGTCAAACTATTTTGTCATTTGGTCAGATTCTGGATATTTGGGAAGAGCTGAGTACTTTTCAGCACCACATATGTATTAAAATTTACTATATTTATTTATGAAGAGTAGTTAATAATGGGTTTAGTGTCATTGGAGATAGAAACCTGTATGGACAGAATAATCAACATTGCCATACCTTGATTTCACATGTTACTCCACTTTGTGCCGATTTACCAAATCCGTAATTGGTAGGGATTATTCCAAGGAGGTCTTTTTGATATAAAAATATTAAAAAGTTAAATCCATGATGAAAGCTCAATGTATAAATTTATACACAGAGCAATATAAATAGATAATAAGAAAATATATATTAATTAATATCCATATACCTACGTTCGAGTTTTGTTCTACCAACTCATCAGGCATAAATTATTACTTTTTGTACTTAATGAGTTAGTAAAACAATGAAACTTAAGTCGCACTCCAAATGTAGGTAAATGTATATTAATATATATTTCTTAGCTCTATCTACGCTCATTGAGCACTGTTTTGTTTACACTTTATATTAAATTGAGTAAATATTTATTCACTTACCTGTGTATGCACGCTAATGCAAGTATATGCAGTTGCTAATATCTAGTCATTTGGTTTATCCACATTATATACATATATTCCGCTACCTTGGTTTCAACCTTTCAGTCTCTTCAGGCAATTTCGGTCAGTTGATTTCCTAATGCTTTATTTTTTGAAAATAAAAATTTATGAATGCAATATTTTCTTTTTTTTAAAAAAAAAAAAACAATACCCAGATCAGGACCAATAATATTGCTGATTCTTCTTTGGATCTTATCAAGGAGCTCAAGGTAAATAGCAAGAGAACCGTACCATATGTTACAGCAATATTCTAAGCATGGATGAATGGTAGACTTATAGATATGCAAGATAGATTCCAAAGAGAAAAATTGTCTTGGACGATCCAGTGAACCAACTTTCTTAACAGCTGACCTAGCAATGGATTCAATATCGTCTTTTCACTTCATATCAGCAGAGAATACGAGTCTGGAAAGGTGCAATGAGTCACTTTCCTGGAGGTTAGCATCAGCCATGTTGATTGAAGCCGGAAAGGATCTCTCAGATGATTAATGGAGAGAAGTTTAGTTTTGGAGGCGTTAAAATTAAAAAGCCATCTTTTGCCCTAGTTAACCATGTAATTAAGCTTAATGATAATTAACATTTGTAGATAATTATAAACTTTATGAAGAGGGAACTTAATTGAAGCAGAAGCTGCCAAAAGCGGAACTCCAGTGAGGAATGTATAATCTTAATAGATTTATATATTATTTCTTAATTCTGTTTTGTCATTAGATGGTGTGAAGATATTTTGTTTTAATTAACTCTTTTCAAAATAATCACTTTTGGTTGTGTCATGACAGCTGTCAGAGTGCATTTTTAAAAAGAGCTTCAGCAGCATAGGAACTCTTTTTTATTTTATAGACAATAAAAAGGTTATTCACATGCGCAAAAAGATTTGTACAGTTTATGGATAAGTTACTGTGAATAATCAAACATGTCAAAAGTGGTTTGCAAAGTTTTGTGCTCAATAATGCTCTACATTTGGGTAGACCAGTTGAGATTGATTAAATTAGCACTTTCTGTGAGAATTATCTATTTTATATACTGCTGCCCTTTTATATTATAGCCAACATAATTGAAATATATAAATTGTTTGCACTAGTTTGTTTATGTTAGTTGTTTTGATGTGTGGCTTTCACATAAACAGAAAAAGAAAGCTGAAAGCTAAGTTATCATTCTTTCTAACTCTAAAATTAATAATCTTCAGACAAATTGGTTTGGTGCTTCTGCTATGTATTTAGAGATTCTTAATAAAATAGAAAGAATCTATCATGTTATTAGCTGGCATCTCAGCCCTATTCACTTCCCCATCCACTGTAACGGAGCTTCTTTGTGTCTTTTCTATAAGTATTTTTGTGTTCATTCTTTTGAGGAGTTTTCCTTTTTGGTACCTAAACTTTACGAATTTAAGTGCAGTACTAAATTGGCAGCAAAGTTGAAATGGCTAGATGTAACTAAGTTCTTTGCTAGCAGTTTCTTCTCTCCCACCTCTGGCTTGTGAAACTCTCTTCCAGCTTATTGCTTTCCAGTCAACTTTGATCTTCAAAAATGAAATACAATGCCAATCATTATTTAATGTCTTCTTAATTACTCTTCTATTATTGTTTTTTTTTCCCTTAATAATGGTTTCTTTTTCTCATATACTTTCCCACTCAGTAACCTCTTGCACTTTAGTAGCTTTATTGCCTTGCTTGGGGTGAAATGATTAAAAAAAAAAAGATAAAATTGCAGAGCAGACTTGGCTTTTTAGCTTTGGTTAGTAACCAGACTAAGAGACAAACAACACTGATTTCAAACCAGTAAGTAGCCATGGTTTTCAAATGGTGTGGTGCATCTCATAGGTTTGGCGGAAGAGGATAGCAGGTTAGCTGGTATGTTTGAAAGACAATCTAGAAACAGTTTCAAAAATTTCATATGCCATAAATAAATATGATTCAAAATTTAAAATATTATTATGGATTACTTGTAATTGCATGCATGAGTCCCAGTATAAATAATGATAAATAATTATTGACCAATTTTATCATTGTGATATTTTTGCATTATATCAAGTATTAAGAATATAGTAACTAAGATCTGCAAATTGGAGGAGAGAGTTATCAATGATAATGTTCTGACTCCGAATCCTGCTTATCTCCCTTTAACTTTGTCTTTGTTTTTTTATTTTGAAATGGACTTTTTATCACATAAAATTTGGTGAGGTACAAGTCGCATGGTAATAAAAAATACTTTTTTTTTTTTTAAAAATCCCTTAGTACCCCAACCTGGGTAAGTGATATATAGTAAGTGCTATATTGCTTTTTAGGCTAGTCATTCTTTTATACCCAGCAGTTTTTACTTTTGATGTCTGAAATAGTAGACGCTAAGGGAAAAATCTTAACACTTTAAATAAATGCTTAGTTGTATAGCATCTTACAATTTCCAGACATTGCTGGCTTCGACTCTAAGGTGGAACAGAAGAGGATAGCAGGTGAGGTAGGATGATTGAAAGACAATCAAAGATTTAGAAAGGTTTTTAAAAATCCATATGTAAAAAATAAATATGATTTCAAAATTTAAAATATTATTATGGATTACTTGTAATTGCAAGCCCAAGTATAAATAGTTATAAATAATTATTGACTAATTTTATCAAAGTGATATTTTTTATTATATCAAGTACTAAAAGTTTAGTAATTAGGATCTGCAAATTGGAGGAGAGAGTTATCAATGATAATATTCTGACTCCAAATCCCTGGTTATCTCCCTTTAACCCTCTCTCTGTTTTTTTTTATTTTTAAATGGACTTTTTAATCACATTTAGTGAGGTGCAAGCAAATTTTAAGAAAAATGTTTGGGAACCAATGCCCTAAAGCATTGTGAAGCATGATGAGAACAAAATGTTGTATAGTACATGTTTGTTATCCACTCTATCCCAGTCTGTTTTATCTTGACTTGATCTAAAAGCAGAGACATGAAAATAAGACTGATAATATTCACAATTTTAATGCACTATAAAACAAGTCATGATTTCAGATGAAGCCATGTTTATTTTCACTGTTGAAAGATTGTCATGATGAAACTTCATGTCATGGATAGTGTGTCTTAAACATGTAGTTATGAAAATCTTAACTACCAGACAGAGCTTTCATCTTGCTATCATTATTTTCTAAGTTTTCTTTCAATTTTAAGGGGGTTCAATGATAAAATACCTGTAATATTGTTCCGATAATACCTCTCTACATAAATTCAGATGATATGCTTATAGATAATATTTTATTCTACTTGCGTGGAGTACATGCAACTCAATTTCTTACATTTCAAAGTTGCAGACGATTTATGTTATTTTGAGGGTTCATTTGAATGATAAATATTTAAATAAATCTCATCATGTTTTATAACTTTTTCTTTCCTCCCTCCCTGTCTTTCTCTTGATGACCATTACACTTTGAAAACAACTAGACTTGATAAAGGATTGCCTGAGTGACAACACTTTAGTGTCTGTCCTCAAAGTGTCTTACAGATTTTGTCTTTATCTCCCCATTCTTATGTCTTTCTTTTTACTTTCTTTCTTTCTTTTTACTTTATTTCTTTCTTTCTTTTTACTTTCTTTTTTTACTTTCTTTTTACTTTCTTTCTTTCTTTTTACTTTATTTCTTTCTTTTTTTTACTTTCTTTTTACTTTCTTTCTTTTTTTCTTTTTTCTTTTTTTACTTTTTTTTTTCTTTTTTCTTTTTCTTTCTTTTTTTTTTTCTTTCTTTTTACTTTCTTTCTTTTTTTTTCTTTCTTTTTTTTTTTTTTACTTTTCTTTTTTTTTTTCTTTTTCTTTTTTTTTTTTTTCTTTTTTTACTTTTTTCTTTCTTTCTTTTACTTTTCTTTTCTTTTCTTTTTTTTTTTTCTTTTTTTTTTTTTTTTTTTTTACTTTCTTTCTTTCTTTTTTACTTTCTTTTTTTCTTTTTTCTTTTTTTTTTTCTTTTTTTTTTACTTTTTTCTTTTACTTTTTTTTCTTTTTACTTTTTTTTTTCTTTTACTTTCTTTCTTTTTTTTACTTTCTTTCTTTCTTTTTACTTTCTTTCTTTTTCTTTTTTTTTTTACTTTCTTTTTTTTTTTTCTTTTTTTTCTTTTTTTACTTTCTTTTTTTTTCTTTTTTTCTTTTTTTCTTTTTCTTTCTTTCTTTTTTACTTTCTTTTTTACTTTCTTTCTTTTTTTTTCTTTCTTTTTTACTTTCTTTCTTTTTACTTTCTTTTTTTTTCTTTCTTTTTTACTTTTCTTTTTCTTTTCTTTTTCTTTCTTTTTACTTTCTTTCTTTCTTTTTCTTTCTTTCTTTTACTTTTCTTTTCTTTCTTTCTTTTTGCTTTCTTTTTTCTTTCTTTCTTTTTTACTTTCTTTCTTTCTTTTTTCTTTCTTTTTACTTTCTTTCTTTCTTTCTTTCTTACTTCTTTCTTTCTTTCTTTTTACTTTCTTTCTTTTTACTTTCTTTCTTTTTACTTTCTTTCTTTTTACTTTCTTTCTTTCTTTTACTTTTTTCTTTTCTTTCTTTCTTTTTTTTCTTTCTTTTTCTTTCTTTTTTTACTTTCTTTCTTTTTACTTTCTTTCTTTTTACTTTCTTTCTTTCTTTTTCTTTCTTTTTACTTTCTTTTTACTTTCTTTCTTTTTCCTTTCTTTTTCCTTTTTCCTTTCTTTTTCTTTCTTTTTTCTTTTTTCTTTCTTATTTTACTTTATTTCTTTCTTTTTTTACTTTTTTTTTATTTTCTTTTTTACTTTTCTTTTCTTTTTTCTTTTTTTTTTCTTTTTTTTTTCTTTTTTCTTTCTTTTTTTTTCTTTTTTACTTTCTTTCTTTCTTTTTTTTCTTTTTCTTTCTTTCTTTTTACTTTCTTTTTACTTTCTTTCTTTCTTTTTACTTTCTTTCTTTCTTTTTACTTTCTTTTTACTTTCTTTCTTTCTTTTTACTTTCTTTTTTTTTACTTTCTTTTTACTTTCTTTTTTCTTTCTTTCTTTTTACTTTCTTTCTTTCTTTCTTTTTACTTTCTTTTTACTTTCTTTTTTACTTTTTTATTTTCTTCTTTCTTTTTATTTTCTTCTTTCTTGCTTCCCAGATAACTACAATCTTCAAAAATTTAAATGCAATGTCAGTCACCATCTTCTTCTGTTCCTTTTTTTCTTTCCTCTTTCCTCCCCACTAAAGTTTTCTTATTCTCTTTCATTCCCTGTAACATCCTACATTGCTTTATTGCCTTCCTTGGGGTGAAATGATAAAAAAAAAAAAAAAAGTGATTTTTCTCAAGACAGGCCAGAAGGGGTTTCACAACCAAGAAGTGTGAGAAAAGAAACTATTAACATAGAACTTACATCTTGCTAACTCAACCCTAAATTGATGAAACTTCATCACCAGTCAAGTACTGCACTTAAATTCAGAGATGAGGCACCATAGCAACAAGCTCATCTGAATGATTACCATGAAGGTATTTATAGAAAAAGCACAGGGAGGCAACTTTACTGGGGTGGGAAACAGACTGAAGCAGAGATGCCAGCCTGCAAATAAAGGTAGAACAAGCTGAAGACAATGCTTTGTCCACTTGCATACTCCTAAAAAACAAAAAAAGGTAAAACTAACCTGGCCATTTGTCTCGAAAAGGACCTCCAATCACTTGTGGACTGGGATAGGAATTGGCTGATTAATTTTAATGCCTCAAAAACAAAACTGCTCTCTTACTCACCACAGAAAACCATCCCCCCCCATTAGAATGTCTGACGTTCAACTCCATGAGAGCACCTCTTTGCAACTGCTCAGTCTCACATTGTCTGCTGACCTGAGATGGAACAAATAGATTGAGTCAATAGCTTTGTCTACCATAAGGAAAGTTGGCTCCCTGTGCCGTGCCAAGAAATTTTTCTTGCCAGATCCTTCAACTCTACAAATCAACTATTCTCCCTTGCATGGATTATTGCTGCCATATATGGTCTGTAGCCCCTTCTGTTTGTCTCAAGGTCCTTGATAAAATCCAGAGACGGATATGTAATGTAATTGGCCCTGATCTGGCATCTTGTCTGCAGTCGCTCTCTCACAGACATGCTGCCGCCTCCCTAAGTCTTTTTTATAAATACTTTCATGGTAACTGCTTCGATGAGCTGCTTTCGCTAGTTCCCAGACTTCATGAATTTAAGCATTCAACTAGGCTGGCATCTCGCTCTCACCCTTTCACTGTAGAAACTGTTAAATGTAGCCATCACTTCTATTCCTACTGCTTCATGTCTCGCACTTCTCGCCCGTGGAACTCCCTCCCCTTTTCTTGTTTCCCTGATAGCTATAATTCTATTCAAATGTAATGTCAATCGACGTCTCCAGATGCCTTGATCTATCCCCTATCCTTCTCTTCATCTATTCCTCTATCACTCCTCTTTGCTCTCACTTGAACTCTCTGTAACCCCTTGCGTGCTAGTGGCTTTCCCTCTTGCTTGGGGTGAAACGCTTAAAAAAAAAATGGTGTAAAGAATGCACAACAAACTCTATTTTGTATGGAAGGCTTCAAGGATTGACAAAATATTCAATTTGGGAATCTAACATTTGTTTTCTTACCCCTTTTACTTTTTTGTTAGAATCTGAACATGGTAAAGTATCCATTTTATAATATTTGTATCCAATTAAAGCAAAAATAAGCATAAAAGGAAAACTACATAGGATTTTCTCGGTTTTATCCATTTATCTTGCGCAACATTTTCCAACTGTTAAAGGATTAGACTCTTCCTTAGATTATTATCTCTTGAAGTGATGAAACTGGAGAAAAAATTGTATCTTATTGATTTTATGTTCTATTACATTCACTAATGCTCTTGTGAAAGCCATGAATCCATATCTTTTCTACCTAGCTATGAGTAAAATAGTAGGGTAAACTGGACTCGCTAGCCTTGGTATGACAACTGGTCTTTGAGCAGGAAACATCTAAATTCACATGGAAAAGGCAACAGGAAACCACTGCTTCATAATTTCCAAGGAAGTGCGACATTGCAGATATTAAACAAAGAGAGTGTCAGCTTTCAACAGCTATATACTGAAAGGAGGTCATTGAATTTTAATTTGATTGATGCAAGAGACAATAAATAGTATTGTTTGCTGCATATATATATATATATATATATATATATATATATATATAAAACTATATTAATAGAACAAAAAAGGGAATGTTATCCATGACTCATATGGATATCAATTTGCCTGAAATTCAAACACATTATTATGATTGAAATTCGAGAAATTATTTTTTTTGTTGTTGTTGTTGCTTGAAGGTTTTTAATGTCGCTACAGTGTGGTCCGAAAGTCTTGTTACCCCCCCCTTCTTACGTCTCTTCCAAACTGTAGGAGTTCATGTCAGCCATTTGAAATAGAAAATTATATTATGTAGGGGTGACAAGACTTTTGGAACACCCTGTAGATGCTGATTTACTTGCAAATGGTTTATATTTTTCTTTCTTTTCTCGTTCTCATTTTGAAAACATTATATTGGATTGGGGAGGACACTTGCTGATCTATTGATCACATATCTGATTGATTATTGATATATGATGAAGAACCAGAGAATTATTTGAAATCTGTTCAGCTAATACATAAAATGACTTTCAAGTTGAAAGCAAAGTTATCAATCTTTCTAATTCTAAAATCGTTTCTGAAATGGAAATGACTGACAATGTGTGGTGGCAGAGGCTGAGGAAGTGTGGTGTGGGTAAGGAAGGGTGGTTGGGGATAAGGAAGGGTGGAGCGGGAGGGGACTAGTTTTCTTTTTAATTATTTTCTTCTCTCCAATGTTTGTCATTTATTTATTTTTTTTTAGCATTAGTATTTTGTAATTTGTCTTTTCATTTTGTTTCTTTGCAAAAAAAAACATTTTCATTTTCTGCATTTTCTGTTTGTTTCAGTTCTATTGTCTTTAGATCTTCCTCACTATCAACTTTGACTCAATTCATTGAAAATCATTTCTTTCTTTTTCATTTGTGAGTTCTGTATTTCTTACTTTCTTTCTTTTTCTTCTTTTGACCTTTTTATCTTCTTTTTTTGTCATTGTTTCTCTCTTAACCTCTTTCTCTCTTAACCTCTTTCTCTCATTGACCCTTTCTTTTCCCCCTTTTCTCTTTTTAGTTTATTCTTTTTCCTTCTTTTCTCTGTTTCTTTCTTTACCTCCTTTTCTATCACTTTTTCTTTTTTTTCCCCCGTTTTCTTTCTCATTCCTTTTCCCCTTTTTCTCTTTCCTTTTTTCTTTGCCTCCTTTTTCTATTTCCTTTCTTCTTTGCCTCCTTTTTCTCTTTCCTTTCTTCTTTGCCTCCTTTTTCTCTTTCTTTTCTTCTTTGCCTCCTTTTTCTCTTTCTTTTCTTCTTTGCCTCCTTTTTCTCTTTCCTTTCTTCTTTGCCTCCTTTTTCTCTTTCCTTTCTTCTTTGCCTCCTTTTTCTCTTTCCTTTCTTCTTTGCCTCCTTTTTCTTTCTTTCTTCTTTTCCTTTTTCTTTCCTTTCTTCTTTTTTTTCTCCTTTCTTCTTTGCCTCCTTTTTCTCTTTCCTTTCTTCTTTTGCCTTTTTTCTCTTTCTTTTTCTTCTTTGCCTTTTTCTCTTTCTTTTCTTCTTTGCCTCCTTTTTCTCTTTCCTTTCTTCTTTGCCTCCTTTTTCTCTTTCTTTTCTTCTTTGCCTCCTTTTTCTCTTTCTTTTCTTCTTTGCCTCCTTTTTCTCTTTCCTTTCTTCTTTTGCCTCCTTTTCTCTTTCTTTTTCTTCTTTGCCTCCTTTTCCTTTTTCTTCTTTTCCTTTTTTCTTTCTTTTCTTCTTTGCCTCCTTTTTCTCTTTCTTTTCTTCTTTGCCTCCTTTTTCTCTTTCCTTTCTTCTTTGCATCCTTTCTTTGATTTCTTCTTATTTCTCTCACTTTCTCTTTCTTTTCACTTTTTTATTTTTCTCTCTTTACTTTTTCTACTCTGCCTGCTCCTCCTTATTCAAACTACTTCTCTTTTATACTGTTATTATCTTCCTCTTCCTTCTGCTTTTCTTGCATCCCACATTTTTTGAGGGTGGGGGGTGTTTCAGATTTCTTATTTCTCTTCTTCCTCTCCCCACTCATTTTTTTCTGTAAACCTCTTTTTCTGTTTTTCTATTCCCTTCTCATTTATTCTTATTTATTTTCTCTTTACTTCATTCCATTTTCTTTCTCTGTTTTTCTTTCAGTTTCAACCTTAACCTCTTTCTTTAATATTTATTCCCTTGTTTTTTTTTCCATTTCTTTCTTTTTTCTCTTTTTTTCACTTCACTTTATTTGTTTCTATTTTCTCTCCTTCCACTACCTCTATACCATCCTTCCTTTTCCCTTTCATCCTATCTGTGTCACTCTCTCACTCACTCTTCACAACACCAAACTCTCCAATGACCTTTATTCTTCACCTTCTCTTTCATTCCTTATTTTCTTTCTCCAAATTGAATCCAACAACAAAAGAATTACATCCAATGACAAACGCTAGCTTCAACAAAAAAAAAAGTCTCCTCCACCCCCACCGGCATATTTTCCTTTACCATTTGTCAGCAGTTATCGAATGCAATATCCTGAAGAAAAAAAATCGGCATCCAAACAAATAATTTAGTTAGTCGAATTGTGACTGTCAAACCTTTGTTCCGAAATAAATGCCTTGCGGACAGACGTTTTGCAAAAAAAAAATCCTGATTCTTTTTTTATTCAAAGTACTTGGGTCAGGAATGGTTACGCTTTGCAAAAAAATGGTACTGAGTAGAAAGTAGACATATTTTTGTGTGTGTGTGTGTGTAAGTAATATATATATATATATATATATAAAGCAAATAGAAATAGCAGCACATGCCTGAAGACTCTTGCAGGACAATAGACTTTAAGGTAAAGATGTTCTACTTCCCTCAAAAGATTAATTTCAATCTCAAGTTGTGGTAGTTGGAAGTGGAATGGAATAATTTTACCAGGTTCAAATTATAATATTAACAGTTTGTGTTTGCTTCAAAAAAATAATTCCTGGGTATGATGCTAAACTACATCCAGCAGCAAGGCCTCTGATCAGGACGTTTTGAGGAACCTGGAACCACATCTTAATTTCTATTGTTCCCAGATCCACCTTGACCCAGGGTGGTAGCACCTGTTAGGATCCCAGCTATGAGCAAATAGTGAGCCCCCCAAACAAAAACTCTATGAAAATATAAAAATATGTTTTAATAGTAAAAATACAAGGAATATATTTTTGTATAAAATAAAATCAACAATACATGACTAGCTAAACATTTTATCTGTAGTTGAAGCCATAAAATTGTGTTCAAAATATTTAGATTTTGGTATTAAATAAACCACAGAGGTTGATATGCCGCTAAACAAAATCAACTAATCGAACAACCAAAATGAAAGAACTCTTTCATGGCATTAATCCATATAATATCCTACAATTTCTTAAAGAAATCAAACTCAAGTTTTGCTAAGTTTGTCCTCATTAGATCTACCGTATTTGACGCCATATAAGGCGCACATTTTTTTTACTAAAAATATCTTTTAAAATTCCCCTGCATCTTATATGTCATATGTAGGTTTAAAATTCATGATAGTCGGCCAAAATTAACTACCTGGCAACTCCTATTGTGAAAAAACAAGAAAAAGAAAAACATTATTAAACAATGAGAAGAATAAAAGAGGAATCAAGAAGACAGTAGATAATGATTGACATTGCATTTAAATTTTTGAAAATCAAAGTTGACTAGGAAGCAAGAAGCTGGTAAAGTGTTCCACAAGCGAGAAATACAAGAAAAAACACTGTTAAGAAAGAACTTACCATTGCACCTAGCCATTTCAACTATAAAAGGATGAGACCTTGTTGCCAATCTAGTACTGTATTTAATTTCATAAAGTCTAGGTACCATAGAATAAAACTCTTCAGAAAAATGACCATGAAATTATTTATAGAAAATGCAGACGGAAGCAACATTATGGCAGGGGGTCCCATAAACCATGCCACTTATTCTGTAACCCCCTAAGTTATTTCTTTATGGTATAGTAAATAATAAATTTTGCATTGTAGTTGGCTCACATATTTGTCTTTTTTATTTTCCTTTCTTTTTGTCTCTTTTCCTTCCTTTTTCTTTTTCCTTTCTTTTCTTTTTGTCTTTCCTTCCTTTTGTTTTTATCTTTTCCTTCCATTTCTTGTTTGTCTTTTTTTCCTTTCATCTCTTCTTTGTCTTTTTTTCCTTTCATCTCTTCTTTGTCTTTTTTCCTTTCATCTCTTCTTTGTCTTTTTTCCTTTCATCTCTTCTTTTGTCTTTTTTCCTTTCATCTCTTCTTTTGTCTTTTTCCTTTCTCCTTTCTTTTGTCTTTTTCTTTTTCCTTTCTTTTCTTTTTCTTTTCTTTTTCCTTTCTTTTCTTTTTCTTTTCTTTTTCCTTTCTTTTCTTTTTGTCTCTTCTTCCTTTCTTTTCTTTTTGTCTCTTCTTCCTTTCTTTTCTTTTTGTCTCTTCTTCCTTCCTTTTCTTTTTGTCTCTTCTTCCTTCCTTTTCTTTTTCCTTCCTTTTCCTTCCTTTTCTTTTTGTCTCTTTTTCCTTCCTTTTTTTTTCCTTCTTTTCTTTTGCTCTTTTCCTTCCTTCCCTTCCTTTTTTTTTTTTGTTTCCTTTTTCTTCTTTTTTCCTTTTTCCTTCTTTTTCCTTCCTTTTCCTTTTCCGTCTTTTTCCCCATCCTTTTCTTTGTTTCTTTTCCTTTCTTCCTGCTCTTTTCTCTTCCCTTTGTTTAAACCTTAAAATATACACTATCTCCTACTAATCTCTGTCCCCATAAGCTCCCACTACCTTTCTACATTCTCCCTTTTTACTCAAACAAACTTACAAGATATCTGTTTAAGAGCTGGGGGAGGGGCAATTAGATGATACTGATTGTAGATATAAAGCTTTCATTTGTTTGTATTTTTTCAATTGCGTAGGCGTCTTTTCCATTCGAGGACAGGTGCCGAGACAGATATCACAATAAAAACCAAAAATATATAATCTCATCAGTTCTAATAATAGGCAGTATGCCCACCCGTTATGTGTGTGGGACTAAAAGCATAATATCTCTGCCTCTTGTATCAGTTTCTTGGCAAAGAATAATCACTTTGTGGGGAAAATATTACAAAATACTTCTAAAGACACCTCACCAGCTCCTAGTTTTCTCAAATAATGGCTCAAATGAGTTCAGTCATTACTGGGTGGCCCATATGTGTGTTGGATTAATTTGAAAATTATATATTAATATGTTTATTGTTACCTGGCTGTACTGGCCCGTTTTGTGGAGAAATATGTAAAAAAAAAATGTCTATTTGCTGAGCATTTAGAGTCTAACCACTGGTACATCCAAAGAAGAGCAGGTAAAGATAGTGTAATGGATAATGGCTGAAAATGAGAAATCAAAGAGCTGAGTTTGAATTCCAGTCGAGTTCATTACATTCACATCTGCAAATACTTTTGGGAAAGGTATGAATCTCCTCTCGGCTATGAGTTAAATTGTAAGGCCAACTAAGCTCTTTGGCCTTGGTTGGCAGCCAGTCTAGAATGGCAACTTTGAATTCAAAAACCATACGCAGTCTTTGTCCTTTATAGCTCTTAATAACTATTCTCTTTTTGCCATCTCTCTCAAACCCTGTCCGCTATCTATTTGCTCAAGCTTGCCAGGTAGGTTGTGCATTGTTTTCCTCTGTTTCTCTTTATCTTTAATCTGTCCTGTGAGTATCAAATTTTCCAAGCCCTCTTTCCTCATTATGTGCCCCAGAAACTTCAACTAAATGTTAGGAAATTGTAGAGAGCCATAATTACCAATGTCCTGAAAGGACATGGTATATAGAAGAATAAGAATATACCACTTGCAAAGCACAAATTATATTCTGCTAATGAAAGGATGGCAGAGTTCACAATAAATCTGTGATCCCAGTTTCAGTAGACTCTGATGGTGATTTCTTATGGTAGCCACCATTCTGGTTTTGATTGGTTATTTAACAGTACAGATTATTCTCCTTTTTGTACCTATGACTGCTATGCTATATGCACATGTGAAATAACTTTGTAACTGTATTTAAAATAAAAAAGAAAGAAAATTAAAAATGCTGGTCTGCTGTTTAATATACAAGACCCGAGAGCCACTCGAGATAGAGGATTACAGAGTAAGAGGCATAGTTTATATGGATATGAAGGGTAGATAACAGATGATCATAGAATAGGCTGTGTCAGAGGCAGCTTTGCACAACATCGCAAATTGCCACTAAGTCAACCTGAAAACTGAAGTCATGTTCTAAAATATCCTCGTCAGATCAAGATCTTCATATGGATATCAAGCATGGCACCAAACTTATTCACAAATATCTACTCTACTGTATGAAACCGCTTCCTAAGATCAGTGGTGAAAAAAAGCTTTGGGCAAGTAAAGGTCTTGGCAAAGATCATCCTTCTTTAAACATTTTAGATTGGCACTGCAGAATCACAAAGAAGTGTATCAAATAAGAGAAACCACATTGCTTGAGGAATACCAACAGCAGAAACAACTAAAATGGATAGCACATGTAACTTGAAGAGAAAATAATTACATAATCAAGATGTTAGCATTCCACACCACTTCTAATTAAAGGTTAGGAAGGAATCCTCCATCAATATTGGAAAGAACAATAACAGCTACTGGACTTGAGAAATTTTTTTAAGCAGAATATTTTATAAATTTAAATGACAGTACTCAGTGCTCCGTCAATGAATGCCAAATGTTTCCTTACCATTATAGCAGGAAATGCTGAACAGTACACTCATTTATGATGTGATATGAAGTGATATTAATATGGTTTTACTGATGAATATCATAGACTGAACATGTGAGCAATGAGAAAGTTTTAAGGAAAAAAACTCAAACTTACAATAAGAAAAAAGCAGTTGAAATTTCTTTTTGGACACATTATGAGGAGAGAGAGAGAGAGCCTACATAATCTAAACACTTGCATGACATATTGAAGACAGAGGCAGAGTGGAAACAGTGTTTAATCTACTTAACAAGTTTATGTGATATCTGTCTGTATTTCTGAGATGAAGTATTGTAATTATTTATACTATTTACATTATTCGGATTGTTGTACTCATCTTTCTTGTCATACTCACACCGTTTCGATGATTGTATACTCTGACCATCAGGTGATGGGAATTTTGAATTAAAACTTTTATTTCGTCCACCAGGATAGATCATTCTAGTTCCATGTGCCATGCCTCTTCCAGATATCTCAGTATCAGTTATCTCCCTTTTAACTCAACAGTCCAAATTTTTGTTCACATCTGCTGAATTAGCATATATACTAGGCCACAAAAATCTAAGCTGACCAAGCATAGACATGAATACAATAAGGGAACCAGTAATACAGTGCTTGAGTGAAAAAAAATAACAACAAATTGTAATATGAGCTCTGGTAAAAAAATGGCGGAGACATTAGGTTTATGAGTTCCAAAAATCCATTTACTGATGTT